AACCCCACTTGGAGTTCAAGTAATTGATACCAACAATAGTCTATGGTTATCAACATCAGTGCAACAGACAGGTGACATTAATAATGATATCCAAACAACTCCGTTGGTTGGTCAAGAAACTGATACTAACAATAGTCCATGGTCATCAACATCAGTACAACAGACAATTGTAACTAACAATGACATCCGACCAGCTCCACTAGTAGTATGTCAAATAATTGATACCAACAATAGCCCATGGTCATCATCAGTGCAACAGACAGTTGGAACTAGCAATGATACCCAATCAGCTTCACTAGTAATATGTCAACTAATTAATACCAACAATAGTCTACGGCCATCATCATCAGTGCAACAGACAGGTGAAACTAACAATGATATTCAACCAACCCCATTAGTTGGTCAAGAAATCGATACCAACTATAGTCCAACGTCATCAACACCAGTGCAACAGACAGTTGGAACTAGCAATGATATTCAACCAACCCTATCAGTAGATCAAGGAAATAAAACCAGCAATAGTCTGTGGTCATCTGCATCAATATACCAGGCGGATAGAATTAACGAAACTGCACAACCAATCTCACTAAAACGTCAAGGAAATGAAAGTGACAACGCTTCACAACTGTCAGTGTCAGTAGATGAAAATACTTCATCTTACAACAAAGTTTCTCAAGAAAATCCACCTGATAATAGTTCGCAAGTGAAAGGGAGCAGTTCATTTTCTATCGATAAAGCTTCAAAACCATGAAATGTTCGAGAAAATTTTAAATAACATTGTTTGTAAAAACGTTTGATGAAATACACATTTATTCAAGTAGAAATTATTCACGCATTTTTTCTGATGAAGTGTTTTTTTTTGAATAATAAATGACGATAATTGATCTATAAACAATTATTAATCTTAAATAAATTTCAAAACAAAAACTATCAATTCAATTTCAATCACATTTGTGGTTATCACGGAATTGATCTTAGTGGCATTAGTCTGGATCTGAATAATTACAAAATCTTATTAAAAATCATCACATATTTCTCATTGAAGCATTTTTTTGGTTTTTCATCACCGTTATATCAAAAGCTTTTATTTCAAGACATTTTGTAAATAAAAAATCGATGCTGTCATTCTGTTAATTTTTCAGTGTCACTTACAATTGATATTCTATTTAATTGATTTACAGATCTTGCACTTGTTCAATGATTCTGTTTATTCTACTATATAAAATATACACTGTTTAGTAATGTATAAAATGAAAATCAAAACTACTTTAAAACAGTTTTTTCTATAAATTCAAGTTATGGAAATATGTTGTAAAAGATTAAATGGAAATTATTTCATTTACCATTGTTAGTTTCATCACGAGACATATTTCTTTCGTACTAATCGACTTTGCACAAATGCAACTATCATATTAATGCTTTTATTTAAAAGAGCAGACAAAGAAAAAAAAATATAAGTATATACACTGACTCAAAATCATTTAAACATCTATAACTTTTATCATATAAACAAAATTAAAAAAAATCTTCTATCAAATTTATTATACTATTCGACAGCTTAAAGTCTGTTTTATCATCTATCAAAAAAACTAAAATATTTGTCTTAAGACAAATTTTTTCATAGATGATTGAACAGACTTTACACCATCGAATGGTATAAATTTGATATTAGACTATTTTTTTTCTTTATATTGAAATTTCTTTTGTATATTAAAAGTTATTGATATTCGAATAATTTATGGAGTTAGTGTGTGTCAATAAACAGTTGGAATAGGCCGTTTGAGAAATTCTTTCCATGCTTGTTTAAGATAAGCTCGAAGATCTTCATATCGTTCTTGTTTTGTATAAATGCGTAATTGAGGTAAATGAGTTGTTGAAGACGAAGATGTACTCTAAATATATTTGTGTATTTTAATATGTAACAAATCTCATGAAGCTTACAATCGGATGTGTTGATAGAGGTTCGTTCATGCTACTAGTTGCTTCCGTAAGAGCTTCAACAGAAACAGTTGGTTCATTACCATCACTAAATGTGCTATTTCAAAAATAATATATTTTATACAATTGTTATAATAAATATGAAGATCAAATAAGGAAAATCTATTTGGAGGAAAGTTGTTATATAGATAATATCATTCAATTGTATTCATATTTAGCTACAAGGAAATTAACCCAACTGTAGTTCATTGTTTGAACTTATATTGAGCCCACAAAGAAGACTTGGTAAGACTAGAAAAAGTTTAGATGGGTTGGTGCTCATAGGTCTCTACAGTCGAATTATGACCGGTTTACTGAATTTTCGACCCAGCTGTAAGTAGTTACTAAAAAATCAACGAATGGAATTTTGACTTTAAATCTATCCCATAGATAAGTCTAATAACCCTTAGAATATTCTGCAAGTTTCAATTGAAAAGAATATTTTTTTGTCGAAATATTGCATTTCAAGTAAAACTGGATCGAAAATTTAGTAAAACATACATTACTTGGTTCGGGAGACCTGTGGGCACGAACCCTTTTAAGCTTTTACTAGTCTTGCCAAGACTTCCTTGTGGGTTCAATATAAGTTCAAACGGTAAGTTAGAGTTTAACCTTTTATTAAGGTTAAAATGTAGATTGTCTATTTTAAGCATACCAACAAAAAGCATAATAGTTTATGCTTCCAACAATGACGCAAGACATTTTGTTTTCAAAAGCTAATGTGTTTACCTCGATGTAATACCAGTAGCATCGGATTGTGATTCTAATGTATCCGGTGGTGATGGACGTGTTGGAGCACTTCCTGTTGCACACGCAACATTCTACAACAAAAAACAAAACAAGAAAAATAGGAAGTTCTATTGTTAAGTTAAATTTTTACAAAACGTGTTAATGAACGTATTTGTGTTTTAGAATCATCACCCATTTGTGCATGCCATTGTTTAAGACGATCTTCTATTTTACTAAGACGAACATGATCATTTGTAACATATTGTATTGCAGCTGCACTTCCCAATGGTGTTGAACGATATAAACGTGTGGGTGATGTATTATTCGTTGTTGATGTATGTGCTAATGTTGCACCTAATCGACGGGTATTCTAAATAATTTATTCAATAGTAAATTCAAATAAAGAAAAAAAATATATAAGGAACAAACAGAATGAGTTGCATTATGAATATGAAAAAGCCATGATTGTTTAACATGATATTGTTGTTGTTCATCGTTCATTACTGGTGCTAATTGTCGTTTCATTAAAGATTTAAATAATGGTAAATGTAGTATACGTGATGGATAGGCTTGAAATGAAAGAAGTACAATTTCACGTAAACGTTCACTAAGACCTTGTGTACCATGACGTTTTTGTAAACGAATAAAATTATGTTTTAAGATATAAAAAAGATCACACGGAGCTGTACATCTTGCAGAATTCATATGTGTTGTTAAATCACATACATAAGATTCAAGACCAACAATATCACCTGTATTTAATAAGGCGACTTGTCTATTACGATAAGAACGTTCTTTTTCAGCTTCAGCAAATGTCATATAACGTCGTTTTATAGCAAAACTTTCTCGTGATACAGTATCCATTGGACGGGATAATTGAAGCATTGGAAGAAATAATTCAAAAGCACGTCTAAATATATTATTTAAAAAAAAATGAAAAAAAAAATAACACCAGAAATTATATTTACTGTTTCATTGGATCTGATTGTGGAAGAAGATGTGGATATTGAAGCCAATGAAGTAATGGATCTATAGTTAATTTAACTTCACCACTAATTCAATGAAAATTTTAAATAAAAATTTTTTTTAAAAAAGACCAAGAAATTTACTCTACCTCCATATAAAATAGACAGCATCAGCAAATGTACCTTGTTTATAAAGCACCGTATCATATGCAAATCTACCTCGTTCTAAACTAAGACTGACAAGACGTTTCAATCTTGCTGGCCATGAAGAAAATAAAGGACATCGATTAATAAATTCAGTTTTTTCTTGTAATTCTTTTTCATGTGCTGATTTAAGTGTTCTATTGTAAAAAAACTAATAATAAGAATGAATTTATAATAAATATATTCATTACATACCTACTAAAAACTTCACGATCAACAACTAATAAATCTGTTGGCATAGTTGTCATGACAGTTGCACTTCGAGGTTCATTTGTAATAAGAGCTCGTTCACCAAAATCAAAACCACCAACTAAAAACTTTCAATTTTTATCAACAAAATTATCATTAGAAGAATCAAACTGGTACATGTTATCAATAATAGTAGTCTAAGAAGATAGTAAAAATGGGATGATGTGTTCTTGTTCTTCATGTCTTCGATCTTTCCAGTGTAGAAAAAAAAACCTAGTGTTTCATCTGATTTAATCTATTCAAATCGATACTGATATTAACTATCGAGAACTTGCAATAGTTTCATGATAATCTCCATGAAATTAAATAGAAACCACAATTTGTGGTAATCATTCGTCTAGTTGACTTTTAAGTTTTCACAATAGATGACAAAGAAGCCAGTTGATTCTTTAATTTTAGAGTCAACTATATTTTGATTTACGTACTTATATGTATTTATAAATAAGAATAAGTTTGTCTACCTACATCTGTCAATCACTCTAACTATCAATAATAAAAGAACCATACTATTTAAAACTGAATACCTGTTTCAATGAACTTACGATTAAAAAACAAATAAAATATTTGATAATCATTGATTCATACAATAAAATGCTCTAACTGCTAGTAAATAAACTCAAATACAACAGCAAATATTCTTACAGTTCAATTTTTCTCTTTTTAAAAACCTTATTAAATAAATTAAATTGAAGAAAACTCAACTTTCAAAATTTTATCATAATAAGAATTGAAAAATATAAAAATGAATTTTTCTTATTTTTACCTAAAGTAACAATATAATTGCCGAAAGCCTGTGCAATAAGTTCTTCACGTTTGTCGAGATCATCATCAAGTTGAGGAAATTCAGTAACTGTATCAATATCCATAAGTATCGATTGAGGATTATCATCATCAAGACGATAGATATTAACTGAACCTTGTAATATAATATAGAATCTAGTATTAAAAAAACCAAAGTAAAAAAAAAGAACATTTTCAATCTTCAATAAACTTACGTATCGCCTGGATCATTTTGACGAATAACAACATCCCATGCTGGACGTCGTTCTAACATAATTGTCTTACAAATATCATAAATAACATCTTAAAATAAAATTATAAGAGAAATAGAATTTTAAAAAAAAGCACAAAAACTTCATTGAATTTTACCATCAGAAATTTTTTGAAATATTCCTTGTTTCTTTTTTAATGATTGTTTAAGCCATGGAACTATAAAATCATTAATTTCCGTTGTTGTTCGTTGTTCAGGTAATTTACTAGCAGCACGTATTAATGTTCCATAATTCAACGCCATTATTAAGATAACTTCAATCAATATTGGATTTTCTTTTTTGACTCGCAGTTTAATACTGTTTTGAAAAAAGAAATAATGACAGGAATAAAAAATATTATATACAAAAAAAGAAAAGAGAGAGAGAGAGAGAGAGAACGAAAGATTTATGTACACTCTCTCTCTCTTTCAGCGACCGACACAAGGGCGTTATAGTGTTCGGAAGCACAATGATCAAACAAACGTTATTGTCATTGTTTGCGATTCGAGTGTCCACACAGGATGAAACGTTGCCAGCGAAAAAAAAAAAGGAAGAGAGTAAGTTCAATCAATACAATAAAAGAAAAGAATAAAATAATATGAAAATGGAACGAACATGAAATATGTTATGCGTCGATCAGAATTGTATACTTTGTTGTCATGAAGAACAACAATAACAATTTGTCTATTTTCAATTATGATTTTTATTTTAAAGTAATATAAAGAGATATATGTTTAACATTAATGATCTTTTTTTTTAAAGATCTACTTAAATAATTTTGATACTGATTCGTATGTTTTAACTTAAATTTTTCAACGAAAAATAAATCTTTATATACATATCATATTCATTCTTTTGTGTTTGGTAAACGGATACTAAATATGATTATAATCAGATTTTTTGACAATATATCAACAGAGAAAGAAAATTAAAGCTGACTTATTTCGATTTCGAACTATTGACATGTGACCAAGAAAAAAAGAAACGTATTTCTTTTATACTAAGATAATCGATATGTTGATTTTTCTGAAAAACAGACTTGTACTTCAAATATCATATTTTTTCAAGGTAATGCATTGCTTGAAAGAAAAAAAATTCATAAGTTTTCATGTCCTCGAAATCATCTCATTGTGTTTAGTTTTCTTTTCCATTAAATCAACAAGGTCAATAGATAATAATCTTAGTCTATTAGTAAAAACAAAACATTTCTGATTTCAATTCAACACTTCATTTTTTTTTTCTTTTATCATTAATTGTTAAATTGTTGTATAAATGACACATCCGTTTTTTGTTTTTTATATAAATAAAGGGTGGGCCAGAAGTGCTCACTTGATTTGTATAATCATTTTCTCTAAAGTGAAACACGTGGTCGTAAATTTGTTTCTATAATGAAAAGATGCTCTACAAAATGACTATTGATTGAGCTCGTTAGCTCATCTAGTAAGGAAGTTATAAGCTTAGAAATATTCTTCACAAAAAATAAAAATTAACAATGATTCTTTAAAAATCATAAAATTGTTTCTTTGTTTAAAAAAGTTACTGTACTTAAAACAATGTTCCTTCACTATGAATATTACAATCAAAATCTGCCAGAATCAAGGTTCATAAACTTGATTTCCATTGATTTGCATCACTTTTGCCAGGCGTTTTAATAAACTGTCTATCCTTGCCTTACATTGTTCAGGTGTAATTTTTCTTCATTCTGAACTAATAAAAATTAACTATCGAAACAAGATTATCAAATGTTTTTTCTCTGGTTTTTTTTCTTTCATAATCTCTCATATATTTTTCATTGGTCATTCGTCAGCGAATCTTGCATCCCATTATTTGGTTCAATTCTTTCTTCAAAACAACCATAGACAATGTTCATAGCAACTTCACGTAGGTGAAGTTAGCGTCCGATTCGAGTAATTCTGCCGCCGATTCGCTCAGGAACATGTTCAAAGTGTTCCAAGTACAACTCGATGAGCTCTATCAAATGGTATATTCGGATTTTACGTAGCTCAAACTATGTGTTCGCAAACCTCAAAATACTGGCCCAAAAGTATGAGAAATGGCCCATCAGCATAGTAATTCCACCGTCGA